GGGGAGGGGCTTTGAAAATTGTTTAAGCCCTTCCCTCCTCTTTTACTCCAAGCGGGTCTGTTAGTGGGAGGAGCGTTATATTTTTCGAGTTTAACATCTCGTTAGGATGGTTGTTAATAAATAGCATGAGCTTATATAATGGTATTAATGATACGAGTTTAGTATGTATGAATAAGTCCAAATTCATTGGGCTAGCCTCTTTGATTAGGCTACAAATGATGAGCTCGCTTTTAAATCCAAGATTTCATCTCCCTACGGACACAGTTTAGTGTCATGTGTCAAGTGATATGGCCCTACGCGTAAAGTGGGCCTTTAGAAAGATGACAAATTGGGCTTAAAAAGCGGGCACATTATTTAGTAAAAATTGTACAGGGCGCCCTATTTGGTCGCCCCCATTTAATCTATACCAATTTTTTTTAAAGTTTTAACTTGTACCCACTTTTTAAACAATTTCAGCTCTCTTTCTCCTCCTCCTTCTCCTCCTTCGTTTTCTTCTTCTTTTATAGTGATACGTATACCCCTCCTGAGAGAAGCCAAGAATATGTAAAAATGGAGCAACAAAGACAATGATCTTTACCAGTATGATCACATCCCATTGTTTGTTGTTCATCTCAACAAACTAGGGCAAGAACTGCCACCACCACCAACATCTATTTCCACTGTACTCTTCTGGTATTTATTATTGTAACTTCCTTTACAATCCAATTCGAACCCCAAATGATTGTTTCTTCCAATAGATTTGGAGAAAACAGATTCATTGAGAGGGGTAGTGATTATAGTGGCTTTAACACCACGTGAAGCTACGAGTTTGGCCATGTCTAACGTAGGAATCATGTGGCCACGAGCCATAAAAGGAAAGAAGAAGAAATGGAGTTGACCCATGTGTGATAAAAGTTGCAGTAGAAATAGAAAGAAAAAAGAGAGTATTTGGGGTTATAAAACTTCAGCTCTAGAAGTTCGTCAGTTACAAAACAAAAACATCAGTTCTAGAGTTGAAGTTCGCCAGTTACAAAACATAAACTTGCCAGTTACAAAAACAAAAACTTCAGCTCTAGAGCTGAAGTTCGCCAGTTACAAATCAAAACTTCAGCTCTAGAGCTGAAGTTCGCCAGTTACAAAACAAAAACTTCAGCTCTAAAGTTGAAGTTCGCCAGTTACAAAAACAAAAACTTGCTACTTTAGTCCCGTCTACTAGAATGCTGAAGTTTTGCGTAATTAACTTTGCTACTTCAGTCTCGTATGCTGAAGTTACGTGAAAAAGTGGGTACTGTTACACCTCCTTTTTACTACCCCCGGGAGGGGCATAAGGAATTTTTTCCAATTAAAGTGACAATCGAAACGGGATTTATTTTTATTTAAAATTCAGAGTCGCCACTTGGGATATTTTATGGTGTCCCAAGTCACCGGTTTAAAATCCCGAATCGAGGAAAAGATTGACTCTGTTTTACAGTCCGCGAACACAGAAATCCGGATAAGGAATTCTGTTAACCCGGGAGAAGGTGTTAGGCATTCCCGGGTTCCGTGGTTCTAGCACGGTCACTCAACTGTTGTTATTGGCTTATCATCTAATTTTAAAACATGTTTTAGCCTATGGTAGATCTTAATTTATTAACCGCTTTTAATTATTTTTAAGGAAGATTCAATGTTATCTAAAATACGTCTTTGGACCACGCCATATGAAATGCACCCACGACCTGCGACACATTTTATTTAACGTCGTTGAGATTTGGAGTTGGGTCACATGAAATGCACACCCGAGCTTAGGAAAGTAATTTTTAAAATAGCGCACCTAAAGCAACTACGCACTTTCAAATTTGCGAGGGCCATGGAAAATTCGCTAATGACATACCTCGATTTCTAAAGAGTCAAAGTTAATTACCCGAGAGTCATGGGCTATCTAGTTTGGTTTATGGCACACCAAGAGTCTAATTAAAAGAGCGTGACTAGTTGATTAAAAGACGTGGAGGATTTCTACTTATGTTATGCCAAAGCTTAAGCTACAATTTAATAATCAATGGGCTAGCAATTGACAACCTATATTTGATTGGGGAAAAGCCCTGGCTGGTCATAAGCCAAAGGCTAATTGTCCGTTACTACAGGCCGGCATGAGAAACAATTGGGCTCAACATGAAGCCCAGCTTGGCAATCAGATCGCTGAAGGGAAAAATAATCACAATTGGGCCAATGATGGCAGCCCAATACACGATTTAGCACTAACGTTTGAAGCAAATTATATCATTCAAGAAAATTTGGAGTTGAACAAATACTGGTAATCCTTGAATCAAACGCAAAGCACAGTTTAATGCTACATAGGTTCTAAAGTGAAGATACAATCCCTAGTTGCAGTAACAGACATTTACACAAATTATTCACCAATTAACAACAAAACTCAAAGGCCCCCAACTCGTATTAAATTCTGATTCAAATATAGCATATTTAAAACAGACCACACGACATCGAAACTTGCCCAAGAAAACTAAATATGAAGAGTTAATCCAAATTTAAAAATTTCAAGTCAAAACTTAGACTCAAATCCCATTCGAAAGTCTTTTTAAGATTCAAGGTTTACATGAGCAAAATGACAACTCTAAAACCCCTGTACTGTATTTCAAGCGATATAGGAGCAAATCTAAAATAATCAGTGGGAAATAAGCCTAAATCAAGCTTGCTAGACCAATAACATAAAGGGTCTGAACTTAGAATTTACCAAAGCTATGAAACATACATCCAAACCAGCCAGCCTTAACTAATTAAACTAGGAATCATAGTCCTTAATTAATACATATTCTACCAAGTCCAAAACACTCTTGAATCAGCTGTATTCACACAAGGTCTAAATCCAGCACTCAAAACCAAATGTATATCAGGAAATGGAGTATTCACAATAAGCTAGACTAAAACATGAATAAGAATATGGCAAAATCAAGCAGCAACCAACAACAGGGACTAATGCTTTTCATTCAACTTCAGCTCGATTTACAGATCTTTACACGAAACTCAATCAGGCTTCATTTCCAACCATAGTTTCAGAAGAGTACCTGGTGCAATTAGAGCAGAAGAAAGAATGAGAAGTTTAACAGTAGAAACATATACACTCCAGCACAATGACAACAACAAATTCAGCTTCTTTAATCCATTTCAAACCTAGAATGAATCCACGATTACTTCCAACTTTTAAAAACCCAAAGAAATACACACAAAGCTTTAATGTAACAGTGTATTGTGGTGTTTTTTTGTATTTTCTCCTGATTTTTCAGACCTTTTCAGTGTATAGTATTTTCTTTTAGCCGTCTCTGATTTCTCCAGGTCTGATCCCCTCCCTCTTGACTAGAAGTAAGGGCCTTTTATAGGGAAGTTTAGGGTAGCAGAAATGAGTTCAAACTTTGCTCATTAATCCTTTTTCAATTTTCATTTTTGTTATTGAGTCCTTAGTTTGAAAAGTTATTTGTTAAAACAGCCCCAAACTCACCTTCCTAGTAGCTTCCTAAATCAGTTACTGAAGATTCTCCTACTTAAAAACCTCGAATTACCCTTTAAGCTTAGGTTATTTATCCTCAAGACCCTGGGTCAAGTTGACCCAAGACTCAAGCCCAAACCTTGGGCCTGCCACTCGGACTGACCCTCTTCTTTGGGCTTCTGATTTTCAGAACCCAATTAACAAATCCAGAACCCAACAGAAAAATTCAATAATAGGGCAACCATGGTTATACGAACACTTGAAACCAAGGATTTCAACTAAAACAAAAATGGGAGGGGAATTTAAACGAAAACAAAATCAAACAAACTAAGACAAACCCTAACTGAAAGAAAGAAAAAAAAAATAAACTAAAATTAACAGGCGTGATGTGAAAAAATAGAAAAATCAGAGAAAGGAAGGAATCAAACGAATCTTGGAATGAAATTACAACAAAAAACCAAAGGACCTGAAATACCTGAAAGAGATAAATGGACGATGGGTTTGAACGGATTATTCGGCAGTTTCGATTTGAACCCAAAATGAGTGTTATTCGGGTTTTTCTTGTGAGAACAACTCGTCTAACACTTGTTTCAAGTCAAAAAATCTTCAAGGCTTGGAGAACAATCAAACCAGACCCTTAAATGATGAATCAGAGGCGAGGAAGGAATTAGGGTTCCGTCTTAAGATCTGAAATTAATGAAAAACAAAGAGGATTTCGGGAAAATTGATGGTGGTTTAGTGTTTGAGGGATTATAGGGAGAGTGTGATGTTAATTTGGGGTTGCTTGGAGTTCCCTCGCCGGTGGAAATGGTAGAAATTCCTTAGTGCAACACTAGTTCGATGAGAAAGATGGTGTTTGAGAGAGACAGAAGTCTAGGTTAAACTGAAGGTCTTCAGACATTTAATTAAAGTGGGGGAAGTATTCCCGGCCGTTGGATTCACTAAGATGAAAGGCCAGGATTTAATTAGTTAGATAACTCAAAACGGCGTAGTACCGGCCTTATACTACGTCGTTTGGACGGTCTGAAAGACCAACTGATTTGGACCGGGTGGGGATCGATTTTGGGACTGGATTGGGAAGGATTTGAATGGGTCTTTAATTAAAGTGACCCAATTTCACAAGACAAGCATTTTTCCAATTCTTTCTTTTATCTTTCCAATTTCTTTTCAATTTCAAATCTTTTTTTCTTTTTTGAATTAAAATAAAACCTAGATTAATTTTGAACCCAAATTATTCTACCAAATTAGTTTAATTACCAAAAAAGATATTTACAACAACTAATTAATTATCAAATTAAAAGAAACTACAAAATTTGAAGCTAAATGCAAAAATGAGTTATTTTTGTGATTTTTTCTATTTTGTCAAACAAATTAATTTACTAATTAATCTAAAATGTAAAATTAAGTCCTACATGCAAATGCAATGCTTTTTTTTGTATTTTCATGAATTAAACAAAATTAAACATGCGCAGACAAATGCAAACAATTAACAAAAAATGCTACAAAATATCAC